CTGTTTGCAGCCCTGGCACCATTATGGTGTGACCATGCTCCAGAGAGCAGTAACTAAGACCAAATCTCTGCTGCTACCGTAATGCTTTGCCTTGATATCTGCTTACAGACCCAGAATTCCATTGGACTCCTAAATTTGTCTCCCAAATTTTTAATATCTACATAGGACACAGTGGCTCTTTGTGTGGAGACTGCATGTATATTTTTCTATTTATATCCATCAGGACTGTTTTCTGTCCCTCTGTTGGCAGTAATTACCTGGTTCTCCTTCTGCTTTGCTGCATTGACTGTCATCTGAGGGAAGGAAAAAGAAGATATTAGAAAAAAGATATGGCAAATCTAAAAAAGGATCAAGCACACTAATTTCAGGAGAAACTTAATTCTAGAAGTGACTATTTCAGGTAACACCTTGTGCATCAACACAGCTTCCATCTGCTCCCCTGAGCTAAAACAACTAGTTTTACCGAGGCTGATGCTAAAGGACATAATGATTAAAATGAAGAATACAGGAGCTGGAGGTCATTGTGCTCCTGCTTGTCAATGCCCACTCTCCCAGGGCTGTTCCACCTTTGTGGAAAGATGAGGTGTGTAGTGGTGAGCAAAGTTGCCTTAGAGCACCATGTCTTTTCTACAGGATAAAATGCTGAGGCTGTTTTCTAGATTTCAGAATAAAAATGGTGCTTTTCATCAGCTCGTTCCGCACCACTGGGACCCAGAGGAGCAGCCCAGGCTGTGCTTACCATCGTAGCTTTCTCCCACCACTGGCACCAAGCCACACACGCCGGCAGTGTAGACAAAACCTCCGTCTAAGCTGATAGCATCTGCTTCACCTTTCTGCAAGGAAAATGGCACAAAGATGAAATGGCACTGGGTCTTCCCAGACCAGCACTTTTCAGAAATCAGATTGTAAAATAATCACTCGATGTAAGAGAGAAAGGCTTGGGGCTAAGCGGATTTGAGAGGCCATCCCTGAGCATGCGGATGGGCAAGGTTTTCAAATGATCACTCACAAGTTACTTCCCACCAAAAAATTGCTTTTTATTTGGGAAACCTCAAAAAAAACCACTGCCCACTTTTTTTTTTTTTGTTTAAATGTTAATCAATGAAAAACTAGTCGAGCCTTTTCACCACGATGAGGTTGGTTTCTGCCCACTGGTATTTCTCGCAAAACTCCCAATATTTCATTTTAAAATCTACCCCTCCAGCCTCCACCTTGTCTATTCGCAGGCTGAAAAAAGCAACAGTGCTCTCCATCTGAAAGGATCACAGGGAGAAGAAAAGGGGAAAAAGCCATACCATGATCTTGATAATGCAGTCCTTGGTGTTGTCTGCCACAGTGCACTCCACATCCCCGTTGCTCATCACACTCCAGAGGTCACACTTGCTCTTCTCATTCTTTCCTACTGCACACCACCGGGTCTTGTTTTCTCTGCGGCTGGAGGTCAACTGATCTGTAAAACCAGCAGAGGGAAAAAAAGGATGAGC